GCACTGTGCCTTGAGGCAGGCGTACTGTTAGCCTCACCGAGTAACTTTTTTACTGGGTTTTATGGTTAATCTGCTGCCTAAACACGTTATAGAACTACATTTTATACATTATCCAGATTATGGCAAGGCAGCATATAATCAGAGTGTTTGAAAGCATTTTATCTGTGATATATAGAGGGACAGCGACACACTATTGGCATCGCATACAGTTTGTGAGGATTACACGATCCACCGAGAGACACAGCAAAGTGCTGCCTCATCGCGCATCTCCTCCATGTATTTGAATGGGACATACGGAAATTCTGCTATTCTTTATTGAAAAAAATTCCTTCAACATCGGATTAGAACGGCAAAAGGGCCTACAACACACAGCAGCCGACAAATATTAACATTTATTATATTTTATGGTTAACTTATTTTTTCTTTTTGAAGATTGACACGGGAGGCTCTGCCTCACCTGCCTCACCTGACCGCACGTCACTGTTGTTTAGCACCGTTTAAAAAACACATAATAGGTATTGACTTAATGACTTAAAAGCTGATTAATGGATCAAAAAAGTTAATGAACAACAATTTTGATAATTGTAGCATTTATCAAGAATTATATGCTAAACATTCACTACAGATTGCAGCTTCTCAGATGTGAGAATTTGCTGCTGTTACCCATTTGATGTCATTGTAAATGAAATATTTTTCTTTTGGGCTGTGGATTGGAAAGAACAGGTATTCTGAATATGTTACATTGGATTTTGAAAATTCGATGGGTTGTTTTTAATATTTTGGGGCATTTTATACACAACAATTAGTGATTTATTGAAAAAACACATGAATGAATAACTAATGAATATAACTGTTTGTTGCAACCCTAAACTATTGCTTTATTCATTTTCATTAATAGTGAATGATGAAGGGTGAGTTTCTGGTGATTATTACCAGTCAGTGGATAAATACTTTACCAGAGATGATTGTGTATATAGCTGAAAAGATAGAAACAGAAGACTATCACTAGCAACAGATAGCAAATGTAACCTTTGTGTCACCTAATGGAATTTTCAGCATCCAGATCTTTTGATTCCTTTGATTTCACTCTGAACTTCTTCAACAGCACAACCACAGGGGAGCAAATCAGTAGCTGAAAGAAAAGGCAAATCACACTGTTGCCCGAGCAGCTTTTGATTACCTGTGTGTTTGTGTGTGTGCAAGTGAAGGAGAGAGAGAGTGAAAGCAAATCAAACTGGAGATAGAGTGGGGAAGAGAATTCACAGATTCTTATTGATTATCTTTATTTTGTTTTGATTATTATTTTTGTACTGTTTTTCATCAGACCCAGAAAATTAGAAAGGGAAAGAAGGGAAAATATTTTGCATGTCTTCACAGAATTGATCTGTTTGTCTTCCTTTTATTGTAACAGAACTCAGTAGAGGTGTTCAGGGAGCTGTGTGGGATGTCGGCTGTGGCTAACCTCATGCAGTGTGTACTGGCTCTGAGTTCCAGAGTGTCAGGACCAGATGAGATGCCTATACTACTGTTTGATCTCCGGGACCACTACCCCACCCTGGAGCCTCAGGGCCCCCTGCCCGATGTCCTTCGCCGGGTTGTCTCCACCTATGAAATGGTTAGGAAGGAAGAGAGTTGACAGTCAATATGCATCTTGTTTTTCGCCACATGGCACATAACTCTGAAATTCATCAGAAGGAAGGAAAGGCCAAACAAAAGCAACAAAGATGACAAATCAGCCATCCACCCCCCATTTCCTCGCTTTACCTAACAATAAACATCCACTTCCAGACAAAGCCTAAAGCTTCCTTTTGAGTAAATATGTTGTCAAGCACAAAGTGAGCTTGCATTGTTATGTAGCGGACAGTGCCCCCTTTAGTTCCTGTCTATACCTTGGCTTGAATCCACTCAAATAAACTGCAGAATTTCACTGACCAGGAGAAAGTTATTTAAACCTTAGAAGTCTTGGAATATTTTTGGCTATTTTGGCTGATTTTTAATAGTTTTGAGTTTACCTTTATGTACCACATGAAAATATGTGTAATATGCCAGTGTTTGGTATAGTTTTCTTCAGCACAACCTCATTTTTTTTGGCCCGACAGTTATTTATACATTTTGACATGCAACATCAACTTGTCTGATCATCAACTCCTGGGGGTAACAGACTTAATTTATGTAATGTTTAAAAATAAAGGCCGCTGTCGAGGAAAACTCCCCTTGGGAACAAACACAAAGACAGAAAAAAGAGGTGAAATGGGTCATTTAGTCCATTAGTCGTATTTGTTTGAGTGGGGTCAGGTTGCTTAGCTTGCTGCAAGGATGAAATGTCTTTTTTTGTATTTCACTTGCAAAAATTTTCTTAAGGTCTCTATCATTCAGCCTCCTCCTTTCTTTCACTCCTTCATCTCTTTCACTTCTCAGGTCCTTCCATTTTTTTTTCCCCTTTGGGCCTTTTTGGATAGTGACTGTCCAATATGAATGGTCTCCATAAAGCATTGGTCCTGCACTCATTGGGGGGGTAGCCTGTCTCGTCATGTTAAAGTGTTGCTGTCACCATCTATGTGGCTGCTGCACTGCTTTTTAATTTATATTTGCTCAAAGGGCATTTCTTCAAGTTTCATATTAGATATTCCGGATAAGTTTCTGTGGCGGGACAGTCAATATGAATTGCCAATTTATTGATACTATCTGGAGTGTATGAGTGATGTCTGCAAGTGTCTGTGCTTATGTGAGTGAAGGAGGGAGACACTGAGGTTTGTAACCAGAAACAGGCTATGTAGTGAAGTGGAGATGGATGTTTCTAGTCTCATTAAGTTATGATTAAGGTTTTGTTGTATAAACTGTGACACCTTAATTTAACTATGGTTATTTGTCACTGTTATACACAAGCAAGTGCATAGACTTTTTACAGTGTATTTGTGCATTAGTGTGTAAGTAAAAGCATGTCAGTGTGTTGTGTGCGACTCTGTGTGTGTATTTAGCCACTTCCGTTTGCAGCCAAGCAGATTAGAGCTGAAACAGCTCACCCTGGTGCTGAATACTATTAGCATAGATTTGAATGTCATTCGGCTAAATAGATTCCACACCTCAGTTCTGATGCCTGGTGGGGGAGGCAGAACAACAGAGACAGGAAATGGGGATGAGTGTGTGTGTTGTTAAATCTGGTCAAAATACTGTAGCTAGTGTTGTTAATCCTTTATTTATTAAGATGCATGTTTTTACCCCACAGTGGTCCCATGTCAGCAGGGTTAGTGAGAGGAGGTGCGGATTTAATCAGACAGAAGCTGCTCATTTCATTCCTGTGTGTGTGTGTGTGCATGTTTAATGCTGTCATTATTTTAAGAGAGCTGTCACTTCAGTCTCTGTAGGTGCCTTCATGTGCATGAATGTATATGCATGGGTGTGCCTACTGTGCATTTTGTGGTAAATCTGCACACAGTGTGAACTCTAATTGACCCACATGTGCAAAACATCACAATAGTCTTTTATTTAATTGTAAATGTCTATCTCCTGTGTGGATAACACCAAACTTTTCTTACTCTTTATTTTGTAGCACATAGTGTTCTTTTACAGCCAACAATAAAACAGTGCACAGTATTTGTGCTTAATGGTGTGTTTCATACATGAAAAGAAACACATGGTAAATGAGATAAGGGTCTATGGTGCATTACAATTCTGTGTGTGTGTGTGTGTGTGTGTGTGTGTGTGTGTGTGTGTGTGTTTTATGCTAATAGATGTTTCCTTGTCTGCAGATGGTCCAGGCAAGCAGAGCAGTGATCGAGCTCTCAGATGGAATCTACGACAGGATTCTACATATACAGACAATGGGTGTGTAAATGAGTGTGTGTGTGTGCTGGTGTGCTTGGGTGTATAAAGTATGCTATGCTGCTAGCAGAGCGTGTGTTATAATGTGTGTAATGAGTTTGAAGTCAGGCTATGCACGTTCCTAGTCCACTCATGACAACTCCTACACAGCCTCTTTAAAAGTGCTGTTAACCACGTTGCAGTGACTGCTTTTGTCATTAACTTTCCTTTCCTTTCTTCTCATTCCATACCCTTTCCTTTATTTACATTTGTTTTTCTTTCCCTTTATGCCCTGTCCTCTCTTCTTACATCATTTTCCCCTCCTCTCCTCTCCTTCCTTTTCTTTTGCTTTCCTTTACTCTTCTCTTCTTTCATTGCATCTTATTTCCTTACATTATTTTTCCTTTCTTTTTACTTCTCTTTTCTCTCCTAACCTCTTTCCTTTCCTTCTCACTTCTTGTATCATTTTTTTAATTTCCTTTCCTTTCATTTCCTTTTTTTGTTTGCTCCTAACCTCTTACCTTCCCTTTTGTTCCCTTTCCTTTCATTCTTTTTCAATACCTTTTTTCCTTTTCTTTATACTGTCTTCTATCCATCTTCCTCAGACATCTGCCTAATAACCAGTGTTACACTAGAAGAGATGTTTTACTGGCCTGATTCATCTGTATGTTTTGGATCAAGGGGTTTAAATTGGTGCAGCTTCTGATGTCTCTCTTCCTTCAGTCTCTTAAGCAAAGGGCATGATCTCTCACCTGCTGATATCATTTCCATGATCTTTAGCAGAGGTTTGTTTACTTCAGCCAGGCCCTGTTGTTGCAGCAATACAACCACCCCCCCCCACACACACCTACACACATTCAGTAATCAGCTGTCACCCAGGAGACAGTATGATTGATGCTTGGTGCAGAAAAGAAACACATTCACATTATATAGGCTACTGTAGTGATTCTCTGTGCTGACTTTGAAGCTGATGGTTCAGTTGGGGCCACTCTGAAGAAAGAGAGTGTATTGTGATTAATCTTGTTTGTAGACTGTTTAAGTCTGCTCCCAGATGACACATTTGATCCTCCACTAAACTTCATTCAAGGTTTTTTGGGGCCAAAACTTTGCTCGCTGATCAAATAAGCTGTGATATATTCAACTGCAGCTATGACTTCTGCACAGGGCAACCACTACTGCGACACCAGATATACCCCGTCATGGATGTTTTATTTCGCATGTGATCACATGTAGTACAATTAGAAAAATAAAATGAGATTTTAAGGCATGATATTTCAGTCCTGTGTTGCCCTGGTGCCAGTACATTCATCTGATAAAGAGCTGCTGCAGAGCCCATGGCCTGATCTTGTGAACAAAGCTCTTCCTGTAGAGTAAAGATGGCAATCTCATCTCTCCGTCTGGAAACAGAGGGTGGGCAGGGAGGAAAGCATAAACAGGTCACTCAGAGGTAGCCATGGGATGGATGGTGACAGAGATGGATGTCTGGAAGTTACATCAGAGCAGAGAGATGAAACAGAGAGGGAGAAGATGAGTGGCAGAGATGGATAGCTAGAGGAGACGCTGAGAGGAAGAAAGATCACCAAGTGAGAAGAGAGAGTGAAATCACATTGTTATCATGATGTCCTGGCGTGTTAATGGGCTGGTTTTCCGAAATTACAAAAACACTTTTTGCATTTAGTTGTACATAACCATACAGATAGTGCTGGCTTTATTTGGTCAGATATTTTTGTCCTTTTTAAATGTAAAAATGTTTTAAAAACGAATGCAACACCAAGCCAAAAAGCAGCGTTTTCTTTCTGTTTCTGGTTGAAAGTCTCAGGTCTGTTTTGCCTCCAACTGCACACAGTGCACTGTGGTTGAATGTGGTAAGACGTGTGCACTGTTGCACTTGTAACCACACCCAGCAGTTTTGGCATGGTATACTGCAGTACAGATCAGATTTTCACAGGGTGTGAAGTTAAAAGGATTTCAACAACACATATGGTCTTTCCTGGAAACAAAGTCCCCATCACTCACAACGTCACTGTGGCTAATTCACCAAAGACACTGTTAGCAGTTTGCTTGTGGACTTGGGATTTCAAGCAGAAAACACATCCAGTGAAAACTGATCACAATTAGTCTGTGCATTGTTCAGAGTAACAGGGATACTTTTTTGGACAGAGAAGCTGCTGTTGAATGTTTCAGTGCTGTGTTCACAATCAGTAAAATTCCATACACCTCACCTTAGAGACAGATATGTTAAATCCAATCTTCAGGATGACCACTACAGGTTAACTGATAGAACCCCAGTAATAATGCACTTCTGAGGGAGACTGATATAGACATTTCAGAGTTAAAAAAAAATCTGATCACAATATACTGAACAATATCTTTTTTTAAAATAGACACAATATTGAAACATTTTTGATAAGTATCCCTAAATAACAGGGGTGCAATACCAACAGGAAGCACAGACTCAGTGAATGGTTGGGTAAGAAAATGACATTAGTTCTATTAAATGGTCTCACACCCACTAGATCATGACCAAACTGTACACCTATGGGTGATGTGCCCTCCACCACCATCATCAACATGCCAAACCAAGTAATATCTTTTGGGGAAATGCTGTTTGTTCTTCCAGTACAGTTTGGAGACTTGTAGACCAAGGAGCACTGAAGCTGCTGTGGTAGCCTGTAGAGGTTCAACCTCATGAAGACATGTTATTCTTTCTTTTAATTTGTCGCCCATCTATCTGAATGTTGTTTTTTTTTCTAATTTGAGTGAACTAACATGTTGAGAACTGTATTTGAGCAGCAGCTGTTCCACCAAGGCCCTGCCCCCTATAATGCTAACACTTGCATCAGAATATATACATCTGAAAGGTTATGAGATACTCATAGCCTAGTTGTTTCTTCCTAACATAAAACTAGAAATCATATTTGTCAGTGTACCCTTTGTCATCACAGTTGCTCAGAGTTCAGATAGAGGACAGGAGGTGACAATGATGTGCTTCTTGTTACCTCCTGATTTGCTGGCCCTGGAGGTTACTTTGGCCTCTAGGTCAGACCCCTGCTTCTCTGTGTGTTCATGTGTGTATCCTGTCCCGGTATTTGCTCAAAAATAATGTTCCATCCATTGGTTTTGCTGACTTTCACAGAAAAATACACACATATACACACACTACATTGGCACGTAGGTTTCGAGTTGCCTAGCAACCATGCAGTAAAGGTTATTATTCAGGCAACTTCTGTAGGTGTGTGTG